CACCGCAGCCTCCGCCTTCCGAGTTCAAGTGATTCTTCTGCCTCATCCTCCCGAGTAGCTGAGATTATAGGCATGCGCCACCACTCCTGGCTCATTTTGTGTTTTTAGTAGAGACGGGGTTTCTCCATGTTGGTCAGGGTGGTCTCGAACTCCCGACCTCAGGTGATCTGCCTGCCTTGGCCTCCCAAAGTGCTGGGATTACAGGCGTGAGCCACTGCGCCTGGCCTGTTTTAGGCCATTCTTGCACTGCTATAAAGAAATACCTCAGACTGGGTAACTTGTAAGAAAAGAGATTTACTTGGCTCATGGTTCTTCAGGCTTCACAGGAAGCTTAGTGCCGGCATCTGTTTCTGGGGAGGCCTCTTCTTTACTCTTGGCAGAAGGCAAAGCGGGCACAGGCACTTCACGTGGCGAAAGCAGGAGCAAGAGAGAGAGAGTTGAGGAGGGGAGATGGTGCCACATACTTCATATGAACTCAGAGTGAGAGGTCACTTATTGACAAGGTGATGGCTAATGGTGCCACAAACGTTTAAATAACCATGTCTCATGTGAACTCAGAGTGAGAGCTTGCTTATCAATGAGGGAATGGGCCAAGCCATTCATGAGGGATCCTGCCCCAATGATCCAAACATCTCCCACCAGGCCCCACGTCCAGCATTGGGGATTACAATTCAACATGAAATACGGGCAGGAGCAAGTATCCAAACTGTATCACTGTCTCCTCTCTCTCTCCTCAGTATTTTTTTTTTCCTTGAGTATTTAAAAACCCAAGCAATCATATAATTTCCTCTGTAAACGTATTGTACATTTTTATAATGTTGGGAGAACTTCAGCCTTGGAGTTTTAAGACCTGGTCAGGTGTTAGGTTAGCTCTGTCCCTTATTACCTTTGTGATCTTGAGGAAGTTGCATAATTGCTTTGAAATGAAGTTTCTTCATGGGAAAAATGGGGATAATGATCTCTACTCTTTTTTTTTTTTTTTTAAACGGAGCCTTGCTCTGTCAGCTGGGCTGGAGTGCAGTGGCGTGATCTCCACTCACTGCAACCCCCACCTCCTGGGTTCAAGCAGTTCTGCTTCAGCCTCTCGAGTAGCTGGGAGTACAAGCGCATGCCACCACGCCCAGCTAACTGTTTTTGTATGTTTAGTAGAGATGGGGTTTCACCATGTGGGCCAGGCTGGCCTTGAACTCCTGACCTCAAGTGATCCACCCGCCTCGGCCTCCCAAGGTGCTGGGATTACAGTTGTGAGCCACCGCACTCGGCCAGTGATCTCTACTCTTAACTTCAAGATAGTCTAAAGGAACAAATGAGATAATAAATGTAAAAGTATTTTATAAACTTCAAGCGCTAGACCTTTGAGTATTTTTATTAAAAAGTAACAAAAACAACACTATACAGATAGCTTTATATAGTAGTTTAAGACACACAATCTTAAAGGAGACAGTATGGCTCCTCTTGGAGGAGCATATCAGTACCTAGGGAGTTTTTCTAAATCCATAATGCGCTAATCCCTACTTTGAGGATTAATGCTATACTGACTGGGATATCCTCCTGGTGTGCTGGGTTAGAAAAACATTGAGAATCATTGACTTAAGGATTCTACAGGTAATAAGTACTGAAAAGGATCGTAATGATATCTTCATCAATTTTACTATCGTTTAAAATGTTCTTAGTCAACATTGTTGACTACACGTGATACACAGTGATATGTTTTTTGTTTGTTTGTTTGTTTTTTAATTGGGAACAGAGTCTTGTTCTGTCACCCAGGCTGGAGTGCCGTGGCACGGTCTCAGCTCACTGTCAGCCTCTGCCGCCGGATTCAAGCGATTCTCGTGCCTCAGCCTCTGGAGTATCTGGGATTACAGATGTGCGCCACCACGCCCAGCTATTTTTTTATTTTTTTTTAATTTTTAGTAGAGACGGGGGTTTCACCATGTTGGCCAGGCTGGTCTCGAACTCCTGACCTCGGGTGATCCGCCAGCCTCGGCCTCCCAAAGTGCTGGGATTACAGGCGTGAGCCACTGCGCCCAGCCACACAGTGATGTTTTTTCCATCACTGTGGATTAGCTTTGTCCTAGAATTTCATGTAAATGGAATCATATAATATGTACTATATTGTGCCTGCTGCCTTTGCTTAGCAGAATGTTAGCTTAGAATGTGTTTGAGACTCTTTTATGTTGTGTATAACTGGTTCTGTTTTATTCTAATAAATATTCCATTATATGGATATACCATCATCCATTCACCTGTTTATGGACATTTGGATTGTTTGCAGTTTTTGGCAGTTATAAATTAAATTTCTATGAACATTTTATGTACAAGTTTTGGTGAAGATGCATATTTTCATTACTCATGGGTAAATACGTAGGTAAACATTGAGTAGATTTGCTGAATTATATGCTAAGTGTATGTTTAACATCATAAAACCCTGCCAAACTGTTTTCTAAAGTAGTTGAACCATTTTTATTCCCGTGGGCACTTTATGAAAGTTCAGTTGTGCTATATCATTGCCAAGTCTTGGTATGGCAAGTCTTTAATTGTAGCCGTTTTTGTGGTATCTCATTATGGTTTTCTTCTTTTTTTTTTTTGTAACTGCAGTGATCTGTCATCATGGTTTTAATTTGGTTTTCCCTGCTAACTATTGATATTAAGCATCTTTTCATGTGCTTACAACCATTCGTATGTTTTTTCGAGAAGTGTTTGTTCTAATATTTTAGCCTTTTTTTTTGTTTACCCACTTTTTTTTTTTTTTTAATACGGAGTTTCGCTCTTGTTCAGGCTGGAGTGCAATGGTGCGATCTCGGCTCACCACAACCTCTGCCTCCCGGGGTGCAAGCGATTCTCCTGTCTCAGCCTCCTGAGTAGCTGGGACTACAGGCGTGCACCACCATACCTGGTTATTTTTTGTATTTTTAGTAGAGACAGGGTTTCTCCATGTTGGTCAGGCTGGTCTTGAACTCCCGACCTCAGGTGATCCACCAGCCTCGACCTCCCAAAGTGCTGGGATTACTGTCGTGAGCCACCACGCCCAGCCTTTTTACCCACTTTCTAATTAAGATTGTCTTATTATTGAGTTGTAAAAGTTACATACCCTGAATGCAAGTCCTTTGACAGATATGGATATTGAATATTTCTCCCTTTCTGTGGCTTGCCCTTTCTTCCTTTCTCTTTCTTTCCCTCCTTCCTTCCTTCCTTCCTTCCTTCCTTCCTTCCTTCCTTCCTTCCTTCCTTCCTTCCTTTTTCTTTTTTCTTTCTTTCTCTTTCTCTCTCTCTCTCTCTCTTCCCCCCCCCCTTCCTCCTTTCCTTCCTCACTCACTGCAACCTCCACCTCCCAGGTTCAAGCGATTCTCCTGCCTCAGCCTCCCAAGTAGCTGGGATTACAGTCATGTGCCACCACACCTGGCTAGTTTTATATTTTTAGTAGAGACAGGTTTTCATCATGTTGGCCAGGCTGGTTTCAAACTTCTGACCTCAGGTGATCCTCCTGGCTCAGCCTGCTAAAGTGCTGGCATTACAGGCATGAGCCACTGTGCCCAGCTGGTGTGCCTTATTTTCATAATGATGTCTTTTGAAGAGCAAAAATTTTAGACTTTGATAGAGTCCAGTTATCAAGTTTTTCTTTTATACTTCATGGTTGTGTGTGAAGTCTCTCTGTTTAACCTGTTTGCAAAGATTTTCCTCTGTGTTTTCTTCTGGAAGATTTTTAGTTTTAGCTTTAACTTTTAGGTTTGTGATCCATTTTTAGTTAATTTTTGTGTATTGTGTGCGGTTAGGATTGAGGTTAATTTTTTTGCCCCATGGAGAGATATAGTTGCCAGTACCATTCATTGAAAGACTATCTTGCTCCTATTGAATAACTCTGGTCTCTTTGTTAAAAATCACTTGTGCATATTTGTATGGGTTTATTCCTCAGCTTTTAGTTTTGTTTCAGTCTATTCTTTTTTTTTTTTTTTTTGAAACGGAGTTTCACTCTTGTTGCGTAGGCTGGAGTGCAATGGTGCGATCTTGGCTCACTGCAACCTCCACCTCCCGGGTTCAGGCGATTCTCCTGAGTAGCTGGGATTACAGGCATGTGCCACCATGGCTGGCTAATTTTGTATTTTTAGTAGAGATGAGGTTTCTCCATGTTGGCCAGGCTGGTCTCAAACTCCCGACCTCAGGTGATCCACCCGCCTCGGCCTCCCAAAATGCTGGGATTATAGGCGTGAGCCACCGTGCCTGGCCTGCTTCAGTATATTCTTAAATTCAGTTAGTTCCACATTTCCCTGATTACTATAGCTTTGTAGTAATTATTGAAATTAGATGGTACACATTCTGTTTTTTGTTGTTGTTGTTTTTTGTTTGTTAACAATTAGGCTGTTTTATGTCCTTTGTTAACTTTTTTTTTTACTTTTAAAAGATATTCATGACACTAATAGCCTTATTTTCTGTGTTTAGTTTATTTTTTCCTCATCACATTTTCAAAGTATATGCAGTGTACTGAGATGATTACAGTTTGTCGAATGTGTTTTAATCTGACAATTGGTCTTCTCAATCTCTCATATTTTGTTGAGTTGAGCTATGATTGTGACCATATTTGTTTTTGTTGAGCTATGTTGTGTTTAACAGCAGTTGAACAGAAAATATCTATCTTTTTTAAGGTTAGGCATAGACCTTTCCTTATTACTTTAAGGATTGAGTAAAGATTTGAGTTGTATTAGTTTCTGAGATATTTTGATATTAGTGATGGACTTTACATATTTAGTGTATTCTTTGTCTTATTTTGCTTAATGTAATACTTAACCATTTTTGTTTGTAGCCTTTCCAGAAATGTACAGAGTTGAGAGGTCTGTATGTAATAGCTTTGCTGAAGCTTAGCAAGCTTTGTTTAGCTTAGCTGAGCTGGATTTGGGAAGTCTTGAATTCTTAAAAACTAGTCAGAAGTTTAAATGTGAAGTTGTGTGAATAGTTTTGGTAGTAAAAAATGTGAACATCTCTATTTAATGTCTTTACATATCCAGAGGATGCCAGCCCCCATCAGATTGCGGGAGCTGATCCGGACCATCCGGACAGCCCGAACCCAAGCTGAAGAACGAGAAATGATCCAGAAAGAATGTGCTGCAATCCGGTCATCTTTTAGAGAAGAAGACAATACGTACCGATGTCGGAATGTGGCAAAATTACTGTATATGCACATGCTGGGCTACCCTGCTCACTTTGGACAGGTAGGCTGGGCTGAGACTACATGTAGCAAGGGTATTCTTTGACATTGTTGCTCAGGGATTGTCCATCTTTTTCTGATGGGGAGGTGCCTTTGATAGCCTTGTAGTCTGATTTTTGTGGAACTGAGGGTAAGATTGAGAGAACAAGCTGCAGATCCAGAAAGGCATGATACTGCCATCAATTATCCTTTCCATTGGGAGTCTGATTATGCGGATGAGAGAATGTTTTGATGGTGACAGCCAGCTTGCTTAAAGATTGACCAGGATTATGTGATTGTTCAGCCAGAGTGCCTGGACTATAATGAATATTTAAGAAAATGTTTCTTGCTGGGCATGGTGGCTTGTGCCTGTAATCCCAGCTACTTGGGACACTGAAGTGGGAGAATCACTTGAGACCAGGAGTTTGAGATCAGCCTGGGCAACATAGTGAGACCCTGCTCTTAAAAGAAAAAAAGAAAAAAGCCCGGTGTAATAGAGCATGCCTTTAGTCCCAGCTGCTCAGGAAGCTAAATCAAGAGGATTTCGAGTTTCGAGGCCTCAGTGAGCTATGATGCACCACTGTGCTCCAGCCTGGGCAACAAAGTAAAATCCCATTTCTTTCTTTTTTTTTTTTTTTTTTAAAAAAAGGCTTGCTAAACGTCATCTTAATTATTTTCTCTGGGCACAATGTTATGTGGAGAAGTTCACAGTATTTTTTTTTTTTTTTTTGAGATGGAGTTGTTTCGCTCTTTTTGCCCAGCCTGGAGTGAAACGGCACGATCTCGGCTCACTGCAACCTCCGCCTCCCGGGTTCAAGTGATTCTCCTGCCTCAGCCTCCCGAGTAGCTGGGATTACAGGCATGTGCCACCGCGCCTGGCTAATTTTGTATTTTTAGTAGAGACGGGGTTTCTCCATGTTGGTCAGGCTGGTCTTGACCTCCCAGCCTCAGGTGATTCACCTACCTCGGCCTCCCAAAGTGCTGGGATTACAGGCGTGAGCCACCGCGCCCGGCCCACAATATGTTTTTAAGGAAATTAGGTGGTTGCCAATTGGTGGCGTCTATTTTGTTCTAATTACTTTGTGCCTCGATTGCTATAACTTGAGCAGATTTGGCTGCTGTTTGTCTCCCATGCACAAATGGTTACTATTTAATATGTCCAGTGTGGGTTTTGAGAATGATAGTCTCAATGATAAGTCCTTTCTTCTTTCCATGTTTGTATTGTCATAAGTGGAGTTTAGTCACGGAAGAGGAAATAGTTATTTTTTATTTCATATTAATGCTATTAAATTTTATTTTAATAATTTAAGAATTGTATTATATGCTAAATAGTCTCTCTAAGGAACAGACTGCAGAACTGAGAGAAAGAATGTGCAACACTATCAGGAAAGATAGCCAGCAGCTTATTTTCTGTTTAGGTCAGTAATTTCAGTGGAAGGAGATCTCCTGCCCCCAAGTTAAAACAAAAAAGTACTGGATTTAATGTTACCAGACTGACTTGGGTTTTGTGCTCATCTTCAGGTTTGGAGTGGGGTCAACATCTTTAGAAATATATGATCGAGAGTGGGAGTCCATTAGTTTCCCAAAGAAAAATTGATGTGTTAGTATCAGAGGAAAGGGGACTGGATCAAAAGAAAAGGGGCCAGGCAGAAGCAACTGCCGGTTCATCAATATATTCACGTATTTGGTTTGGGACAGAATTAGTGTCATAATAGTATTCTTCTCTTTCACAGGAATTGTTTGTAAAATATAATACATTCTTTGAAATATATTTCATATTTCATTCATACAGTGTTAGAAGTGGAATTAAACCCTGAAGCTCTGATGTTTCAATTATAAGCTTTATCACATCAAAAATTGATCCAGGTGGTTATCCATATAGTACGTGTCATAGTATAAAGCAAATTGATGCCCATGTGTTCTTGTTGATTGATTTTAAGTATTAGGTTAGATTTACAGAAATCTGATATATTAGAAATTGGGCTATAAAAAAGTCTAGTGAGGGGGAAGACTCTTAATTCCTCAGCGATAACCATTATTAACATTTTGTAAGCAGTACATTTATATATTCCCGATTAAGTTCTTTAAGAGCATATTCTTTTTTTTTTTGGAGGCAGGGTCTTGCTCTATGGCCCAGTCTGTGGCTCTGTGATGGCTCACTGTAACCTCAACCTGCTGGGCTCAAGCTCTCCTCCTACCTCAGCCTCTCGAGTCACTGGGACTGCAGGTGTGTGGCACCACACCTAGCTAATTTTTTTTTTTGAGATGGAGTCTCGCTCTGTCACCCAGGCTGGAGTCCAGTGGCGTGATCTCAGCTCACTTCAACCTCTTCCTACCGGATTCGAAATTCTTCTGCCTCAGCCTCCCAGGTAGCTGGGAATACAGGTGTGTGCCACCACACCTGGCTGATTTTTGTATTTTTTGTAGACATGGAGCATTACCATATTGGCCAGGTTGGTCTTGAATTTGTGACCTCCTTATCTGTCTGTCTCAGCCTCCTAAAGTGCTGGGATTATAGGCATGAGCCACCACGCCAGCCCCAGCTAATTTTTTTTTTTTTTTGTGAGACGGAGTCTCGCTCTGTCGCCCAGGCTGGATTGCAGTGGCGGGATCTCGGCTCACTGCAAGCTCCGTCTCCCAGGTTCATGCCGTTCTCCTGCCTCAGCCTCCCGAGTAGCTGGGACTACAGGCGCCCGCCACCACGCCCGGCTAATTTTTTGTATTTTTCAGTAGAGACGGGGTTTCACAGTGTTAGCCAGGATGGTCTCGATCTCCTGACCTCATCATCCGCCTGCCTCGGCCTCCCAAAGTGCTGGGATTACAGGCGTGAGCCACTGTGCCCGGCTCCCCAGCTAATTTTTTGAGACAGAGTCTCACTCTGTTGCCCAGGCTGGAGTGTACAGTGGACACCACAGGCTTACTTTCTACTCAGCTCACTGCAGCCTCGACCTTCTGGGAACCACACCAGGCTAATTTTTGTTTTTTTTGTAGAGACAGGGCTTTGCTGTGTTGCTCAGGCTGATTTTGAACTCTTGTGCATAAGCAATCCACGTGTCTTGGCGTCTCAGAGTACTGAGATTATAGGTGTGCACTACCATGCTTGGCCAGCTAATTAAAAAAAAAAAAAATTTGGATTGGGCTGGGCCGTGGTGGACTTCACGCCTATAAAACCAGCCACTTCGGAGAGACCGGAGGATTGGGGGCGGATCTCGAGGTCAGAGAGATTGAGGAGCTAATCCTGGTCAAGCATGGTGAAACCGTCGTCTACTAACCTAAAAACATACAAAAAATTAGCTGGGCCATGGTGGTACGCACCCCCTATATCCCCAGGTTACAGCTCCGGCGGGCTTGAAGGCATGGAAGAATCGCTTGAACCCGGGAGGTAGGAGTTGCAGGTGAGCCTGAGATTGTGCCACTGCACTCCAGCCTGGAGCGACCAGAGTAAGCACTCCTTCCTCAAAAAAAATAAAAAAAATAAAAGAATTGTAGGTAGGGATTCTGCCACATTGCCCTGGCTGGTGTTAAACTCCCTGGGCTCAAGTGGTCCTCGGACCTCAACCTCCCCAAAGTGCTGTGATTAAATACGGTGTGGAGCCACAGAAGTCCCGTTACTAAGGCAAAATTCTTGGATTTGGAATCAGAGTGGTAAAGATATAAGATTTTGGGGATATTTCATTTCCTTGTAAAAAATCTCCTAGTATATTTTCTAAAATCGTTTCTTTAATGTGTTTAAAATAGAATATGTGCTTTTAAGGTTAGGCGTGGCCATTTTGGGGTATTTTGGGACGTTAATTTATTTGATAAAATATTTAATTCTTAGGTAGAAAGTGTAAATGCTCAAGAAAACTGCTAAATTTTTATCATAAAATATTTTTCTGAAATGGGACTAGAAATCATAATTTTAAAATTTCTTGTTCTGTTTCTCTCTGTAATAAATGAGTGCCACCCATCTTGTCTGCCATATCCAGTAGTTTTGGTACCCCCACCCGTTGGAATTACCTTTATTATAATAGCACTGTGAAGGTTCATATCTGGCTTTTGTCACCTGCATGTAATTGAATCACAGTGCTGGTTATCACTAGTGATAATACCAGCCCCTTTTTGGTTTTTTTTTTTTTTGTTTTTTTTTTTGAGATGGTCTCGGCTGTGTTGCCCAGGCTGGAACTGCAAGGCTCCTCCTCCGGGTTCACGCCATTCTCCTTCCTCAGCCTCCCTTGGTAGCTGGGACTACTGGGCGCCCACACCATGCCCGCGCTAATTTTTTTGTGTTTTAGTAGAGACGGGTTTCACCGTGTTAGCCCAGGGTGGTCTGGATCCGCCTGACCTTGCTGATCTGCCCACTTGGCCTCCCAAAGTGCTGGAATTACAGGCATAAGTCACCACGCCCAGCCCACTTTTTTTTTTTTTTTTTGAGACAGAGTTTAACTTTTGTCCCCCAGGCTGGAGTGGCAATGGGCAATCTTGGCTCACTGCATCCTCTGCCTCCCAGGTTCAACTTATTCTCCTGCCTCAGCCTCCTGAGTAGCTGGGATTACAGGCGCCTGCTACCATTGCCTGGCTAATATTTGTATTTTTAGTAGAGACAGGGTTTTACCATGTTTGGCCAGCTGTGGTCTCCAAACTCGCCTGGACCATTAAGGTGATCCCAACCGCTGCCTTGGGCCTCCCCAAAGTGCTGGGATTACAGGCCATGAG